CGGTTAGCAAGATCCTTCCTACAAATCGGGTACAACGCAACTTGCTTGCTAACCTTCCACCACAACAATCCCGCCCCCTTGATAAACGACCAATCACATTCACTTTATTCGCTGTGTAAACTCGGAAAACTCATGAGAATTCGGAAATGCGGTTGGAACAGCCGCTTCCCTACGACTTTAAGTAAGGAAACAAAGTATTTGTACTATGTTAGTTGAATACCAATGATTTGGTGATATTTGTTTTGAACCCTAACTCACAAAAAAAGTGTTTATTTCTAGTTTGATGTAGCATCATTTTCCATGATAAGCCAATTTGTTAGACGTCCTTTCTAAATCTCTCCATCTATGGCTCCGATCTGGCTGAGTGGGCAGGGATTAGCAGGTGAGGCATGTGAGAATAAGACGGACGTTAGGGTCCAGATGGTGAAAAGGTCTGTACCATCATGACATCAAATCATTTAAATAACTGTAGATTATTGTCTGTTTTAGAAACAGATTCCTCCTGTTTTCTTGAACAAATGTTAAGAACCTATAATACCGTCCAATTCAGGAGATACAGAAAGAGATTGCAATAATGAGTAACAATATTTGTCAGACTCTGCGTTGGTTCAGGCTGGATGAGGAGATAACCAGAAGAGACATACCTTTGGCATGATTGTATCTGACAAAAAGTGCTACAAGTTCAGGCAGAGGGTCATAGAGAGAGGAAACATGAGAAAGGGCGGTATCAACCGCTTCATGTCCTCATTGACAGGCAGGCGCAGAGACATTTTTGGAGGCAGGTGCTAGAGTTAAAAAAAATAAGAACTTTCCTTTAACCTAATACCGAGGCTACAACAAATAAGCTAGTAACTAGTAGGAGATCATTAAAGTATCTCTGCTTCTGTCTCCTTGAACCCCAGTGGGCCTCAGCAGATGGCCGCTCACATTGAGCCTGGTTCTGCTGGAGGTTTCTTCCTGTTCAAAGGGAGTTTTTCCTCTCCACTGTCACTACAAGCATGCTTAGAGTGAGGGTTGCCTTTCAGTCAATGTTTCGATGCAATCAGCTGGTTTTCCTTAGACTTTTAAAAATTATTATTTAACCTTTATTTAACCAGGAAAAAACTCCCATTGAGATTAAAACCATTTTTAAAGGAGTCCTGGCTAAGAGGCAGCAAAGCTACATACTAAACAGAGACACATTAAATTAAATGACAGGTACATAAAAAAAACATCAAGTAAAACAATCACAGATCATTGAGGCTGCTTCAAATTCTTTCCCTGTCAATTTAAAAGCATTTAAAGCTAAAAACTCAATCAACTTCCAGTTTCTTTGTAAAATATTCCACGCACAAGGAGCCGCGCAGCTAAAGGCTTTCTTCCCTAGTTCTGTGCGGGCAAAAGGAGCAGTGAGCCTCAGCTGATTGTTGGGTCTCAGGGCAGAAGAAGCAGAAGATGGAAACCTTTGAATCATTTTGACTGGATGATCTGGTGAACCAAAAGTGCCTTGAGATGACATGTGTTGTGAATTGGCGCTATAAGAATAAACTGAATTGAATTGAAATCAATAAATTAATCATTCAATCGTTAAATGAAAGAAATTACAAATATTAAAACCAGAGAACGGATCTGACTCAATGGGAACATTTTGGCTCTGCTTCCTCAAACAGACTATATGCTCTTTGCTTTCCCACAGGTCCGTCTACGGTTTAAGGAGATCCAGCGCAGCAAGGAGAAGCTCACCTCCCATGTGACACGGGAGGAGTTCCAGGAGGCCTACTGTGAGCTTTGCACGCGACCTGATGTTTACTTCCTCCTGGTTCAACTGTCCCAGGACCGGGAGTGCCTGGACCCTCAGGACCTCCGCCTCTTCTTGGAGACAGAGCAAGGATTGTCTCTGGCTACGACCGAAGGCTGCTGGGAGCTCCTGAAGCGCTACGAGCCCTCGGCCCAGGGCAGGGAGAGGGGCCTGCTGGGTCTGGATGGCTTCGCTCGGTACCTGCAGTCACCCGAGTGTCAGCTGCTGGACCCGGAGCACCTGGGGGTTTGCCAGGACATGAACCTGCCTCTGTCCCACTACTACATCAGGTCTGAAGGTTCACTTTACCTTGAATGATTAAGATCCTTAGGGTAGAATAAAGATTCACTAACAGCAGTGCCCTGCAGAACGGCTCTGACCTCCTGAACTAGGGATGCAAGTTATTTGATAAATAAACCAGTCTGAAGCTGACTGATCTTATGGACTGACTAAATATGATTGATTAAAGGACAGGGCATGTCGCTCTGACATACTGTCAGACAATTGGCCTCTTTGTGTCAAAGAAGTGGACGCTAACCTATAGAAGTAAATCTGTGTCGCTGGGATTTGAATTAAAAATGCCACTGAAATTTTAATGTTGTGTGTTTGTTCTTACTGTTTTAGTGTTTAAATATATTCAGAACACATTTTTGACCTAAAAAAAAATTCATTGTCATTATTTCTACACAGTTGAAATTTCATTTGTTATTTTCTCTTCAAGCTAAAAATTTACATTACTATTTCAAAGTGATTACATTTTAAAAACTTATTTTTCAGTTTAATTTTTCAGTGTTAAAAAAAATCTGCAGATTAAAAAATTCAACCTTTTAAAATTCAAACTCA